CACGCGTGCAGTACCTCAATATTGTTGACCCGATCAACGTGCATGATAGTCTAAGCCACGGCCTACCTGACTGCAGCATCGGCAGCAACAGAACTTCGCTATCCAAAATTCGCCCGTTAAAGGGTTATGCATTCTTTAATTATAATCAAGTTGGTTTATTTGTTGCTGTTGCTTGGTCTGGTTCAGGTGTAAATAATTATGCATCAGTATCTGATGATGTGACAAATACGACAGAAGATCTTAAGAAAAAGATTTCGTCCACTCACAACAATTGAAATAACTCAGCAGTTTAACCGACGATTTTCATTTGCAAATTTAGCACATGTTCATAAACTTGATTTAACTCAGATCAGGCCGAGCTGAAAAATGTTGAAGGACGGTCGAGTACTTACCTTTTTTTGTTGGGTCAGACAAGAAATTTTCGGTTTGCTGATAAAAATCATTAGCGTGTAATACATTCACTTCTAGCAATGGATATTTAATCCAGTTGGAAACGCCTGCATTTTTTGAACCTCTGGAAGAAATGAAGGAAATTCATTGTTCCTGGACCAGCGGACTAAAGTATGTATTGTGAAGAAATATATGTGTTTTCATTTTAAAACATTCTTTTTTCGTCTAGGGTTATAAAGATTGTTCATGCCTCGAGTATGCTGTATTTTATGGTGTATAAGTACTTTTCAGAATTGTTCGTGACACTCAACGATGTTCTTACCGTCGTAGGAAGGATGCCTGAAATTTAAGCTCATAAAACTTTTTCTATGGCTGTGTAGATAGATATAGAGCAAACATTTCTTTACAAAACGAAATATAGGACAGTTATATTCGACTTCTTTTACAGTGTTATCGCTGCTTTAGGAATAATATAATTTTCAGCCATTCGATTAGGAAGTGTTAGAATAAATGAAAGAAGCCAAACCCATATAAAATCGTATTGTATCGATAGAAAATAGTCTCATATAGTTTTCCACAATTTTAATAGGCTCTGTTAGTGACTTCATCAATGATAGTAATAATCAACTCATTGTTGAACTTGACACGACGCACTTTGGTGGTTGTTTCCAATGCGTTTACGTCTTTAGTTTAGAATACTATAATGGAATTTGTTTTTCGCTTGTATTCTGACAGAATAAAGCTTATAGAAACATTGTGAGGGGGAATTCTTTGGACTGCAACACGATCTTTGCAACAACAAAAATGTTTTGGAATTAGTTTAATGAATTCTTTTCTAAATGCATGTACTGTCAAGATATAAATGTAAAGTGCAATGCAGGATGATAAATAGAAAAATATGTTGCCAATAAAGACAATGAATTTCTAAACGACGAGTTGGGTTGATTCCGTTGTGACATTGAGAAAAGATGACAAACACATGAGTATAGCCGTATAGATACTATTTCGGACGACATTTACGAGCACTTAACAGAATAACATTACAATTAAGTAATAATCCTTGTTTTTTGTCGATTAGCTTGATGCTAAATTAGTTTTGCTAATAGGAATAGTACACCCGTACCAAGAAGAATGATTGGTTCATCGATAATATGGACTGAATACAAAAACAAGAATATGTCTATCAGTGATTTTCACGTAAAAATGCAGCCGAAATTTGGATCAATCAAGCACAGTGATCAAACATATTCAAAATTAATGTGAAAGTTAAAACACAAATACATATAAGATAGTGGCATAGCCGTCAGAGACCGAAATCATCAAACATGATTCGAACCCGATCCGAACATTTTTCAACTGTGACCGGAGCTAGACTAGAAACATGGCAATGTTTTCATATACATTCGCGAAGAAACACTTCTTTCCTATAGAAAAATTATTTTGAAATTTTTTCAAGGAATAGTGAGAGTCCTTACAATTTCTGTCATTTTTTCTTTTATGAGTGGACAACTTTGGGTAATTCAGGCAGTTTTTCTTATATGACCTGAGTTTGATCGAAAGAAGTTTTCTGATCTAACCTGAAACCGATCCTACCCGACCCGAATCAACATCTTTTACGTTGATCCGAGCCGATCGGACTTAACGCGACCCGACCCATTTCGATCTCTGATAGCCATTGTATCGCTCCATTTTTTTCAGAATAAATCAGGAATTTAACTTTTACTAAACGGATCGCCTCAAATTTTCTTTTATTTTTGAGCTTTCGCCTTTCAGCAAACATTTATCGTTCACGAGAAATAATTTTTTACTGACGTGTGTGTCGGCTTTTGACTTCACCTATTATAATGAATGTATTACTGTAAAATCTACATTTCCAATTTCATAATCAGCACTTTCTATAAGAGTGGGTGCTTTGAAAGTAACGTTCAAGTTTTTGAATGTCCTCCTTTTTTGATCAGACAATAAGTTTTCTGCTTATGTCCCGGGATATTCCTAAACACAATTGGGGCTTATACTGGAATATGTGTAAAGTTATGTGTCCCATATAGTTTTGAGCGTTCTACTAGCTAAAAGAACTAAAAAATCAGAGATACTTTTTTCACGACAAAATTTGGGTTATGTGTTGAGAGTAGAGGTCTGGTAATAAAAAATTCTCCATTATATTCTAAAATATTAACAAGAACTTTTTAGATATTTGCCGAAATATTTGCCATTTTTGGACGTCATTATAATTAACTTCCGATTTTAAACTCTCTCGTTATTCAGAGAAAAGAAAAACAAAATACAAAAAAATATGTCACTTTTTCAGTATAAACTTGAACAAAATTAAACTTACTATATACCACACGATTCGTTTGAGTATGCTCTATTTGTTCGTGCAGTTTAAAAATACTATTTTTGTGACTACACATTATAGTCTTGAAAAACTGTATTTGTAAGTGCATAAAATGTGCTTGACCGACATTTGAGCACTAGACATTTGGACCCCGACATTTAAGCCCTGACATTTGAGCACACCAACATTTGAGCATCAGTCTATTCAGTCCCCGGCGTTTGAGCACATTGATGTTTGAGCACAAGAAGCACAATCATAGAAACATATACACAATAAATTTTTGTGTATATTTTTCAATAAAGCTCATTTCATCAACATTGAAACGTAGCAGTTTATAAAATTAAATAAGACAGTTAATAATTAATTAATAAAATTGAATCTACACTGTTGATTTAATCAGTTAGTTTGATTAAATTCTTTAATTTGTTATTTAACGTAACTAACGATTTTAATATGCAAAATATGACACGATACAGTGTATATATAACAATATATTACACACAACTCCCTATTACACATTTCAATTTTTTACATTTGCTCATTATTAAACATGTCTCAGCAAATTATTACTATGATAAAATCTTCTCGTGGTGCTGATCAGATGTTGCTTAATGGATATAAGTATCGTTTAGATCGAAACAAATGGCGTTGTACAACCAGTAAGTATCTCGGTCGTTTACACTCTGTTAATGGTGTTCATAATATCAGTATTGATCATAATTACCCGCCAGACCCTGATAAAATTACTCATGCAATATTTAAATCAACTATCGGAGAAAAATCACTTGCATCACAAGATCCATCTCGTCGATTAATCAGAAATGCAGGACAAGCTATCCATCCAGATGATATCAGTTCACTTCCATCATATCAAGCATTACAACCTACAATCGAAAGACGTCGTAAAAAAGCGGATCATCCATTATCAACACCACAAAAGCTGAGTGATATTCATTTTCCGCAAGACCTTACTGTTGCAACAACAAATGAACGCTTAATATTATGTGATATTAATCATCATCAAGATCGAATTATTATATTTGCATCGGATAAAGATCTTGTATCGAATTCAGAAAGATGGCATTGTGATGGCACATTTAAGATTGCATTTCAGTTATTTCATCAGATGTACACAATTCACGGAACAACTAAAGATAAAACTGTACCATTAGTTTATGCATGCTTAACTGGAAAATCAGAACGATTATATGAAGAGATGTTTAATGAAATTATTAATAATATTGTCAAAGAACCAAAAATTTGTTGCTATTGATTTTGAAATTGCAGTATCCAATGCTCTTAAAGCAACATTTCAAAATGTCACTGTTTTCGGGTGTTTTTTTCATTACAAACAAGCCGCATGGCGTAAAATTGTGCAACTTCGATTAGAAGATAAATTTGTAGAAGATCGTGATATAAGACATCATATTAAAGATATTATGGCATTAACATTTTTTCCATCATTGAACAGGATTTGTCAAGAACGAATAATCCAGTAGAAGGCTGGAACGATGCCATGAATCAATTTGTGAGTGCTGCTCATCCTGTTATTTACAAAAATTATCCAGGATATCAAAAAAGAACAACATTCAACTCAAATTCTTATCGAAAAACTTGAAAATGGAAGTATAAAGCCATCGCGACGAGCAAAATATGAAAAAATTGATCAGAAACTTCAATATCCGGTTAATCAATATAAAATAATGCCAAAAGCTGAATATTTTAAACATTTACGTATATTGTTTAATTTTTGAGACTGGCGCTTTGCTATTGTGTTAATGCTCTGCTTTTTTTAGTTAAATATCGGTGTGCTCAAAAGTCTTCTGCTCAAACGTTGTGTGCTCAATTGCAGGGGCTCAAAAGTCGTGTGCTTGTATGACGTGTCACCATAAAATGTCGAACGAAAAGTTTTCCTGATACAATGAAACTTTATTCAATATTTCGGCAACACCTTTCGGAATAGGTTTTATTTTCAAATTCTTTTGACACAACGGTGTAATAGCGAAAGCCAAAAATTTTGATACGATACCGATAGTTTTTTAGCCGGAGTATAATTGCAAGTGCGCATTAGTTATGCTGGCATCACAATACCATCAATTTATTCGCGGATTCTTGGTCCTCGTCGGTCCCTTTCATGATTTAATGAAAAAATATATCAATATTCATTTTTAAATCCCATCTCATTGTCGATCATCCATTTCAAACAGGCTTGGCAAAAGACGTCGAACACGATTTAGCCCGATCAGGATTCACAAAAACTGCTGTGCTGAATGCTAATCTTACTAAATCATTATTCAATATTGTTGAACAGAGCTTACCGAATCAATATCAGCGTTTTCTAATTCTACTGGTGCTAATTTGATGGAATCAATTATACTGATACTAGTTTGAAATCGACAAATTTTACTAGAGTAACATTATTAAAACTACTCTAACTAATGCAGATTTATTTGGTTCACAGTTGAACGATGCTGCCATCATTCATTGATCATATCGATTTTACAAGTGCTGTTCTATTTGGTCATAATTTCTCCGGAAAAGATGCAACATTCTTAAATTAGTCGGTTCAAATTTATTTAAACAACAACAATTCAAATATAGTATTGTATGTATATAATACTGTAGTATTATAAAGACATAGTTAACTGAATCAACTGTGATAGGTACTGATCTATTTGATACTAAAATGGAAAAATTAAAATTTGTGTGTGCATTTAACTTGTGGTAATTGCAGCTAAACTCATTGTTTCTCATAGTTGATATACTCTGTATTTTGCCTGTGCAAAATGCTGCGTGACTATAGACAGACCGATTCACGTTTATTGGTTGTGATAATTTTTGTTTTTTTCACCCAAGCTGAAGCAAATCGCTAGATTCGAAAGCTTAGTTTTTCCACAGTAATTATTAAAATAAAAATGAGTTTAGCTGCAATTACTACAAGTCAAACGTTTGTTACTAAAGTTTTAAATTTGACTCTTTTTACTTCTATTAATATATGACACATAATAAGACAAAATAATCATTTTTTAACTTAAAAAACCAGATGTCCGCCTACACTATGGATAAATGCACACTGCTGCGGACGTTAGTATTCGACAATCATTCGGCTTAATATAATCAGTGATGGTATATATATTTAATTTCAAACTGATTATTCAATTATCACCACGATCACGATTTATGAGAAAATTATGTACAGTGCAGGGATCATGATTCGTTTGGTAAGTTAAAATAATCTATTTTTTGAAAAACTACATAAGATGCTCCTTTGTTGAACAGTATCATAGATCATCGATAGTTCTCTGTTTTCTTTGAAATGAGATTAAACATTAGAGTTTGAAAACCTTTAGATTTATGAGGCGTATAGCTAGAAATAAGGGCGCAGCCCAAAAACTTAGATGCTTATTTACTTCCACGCTTCCATGCTTCCATTATGATTCGGAGAGATCTTGATTAGACATTCGTTTCCTGGATGAAAATGGCTTGGCTCAACAAATTGTTATTTACAATAGTTCTTTTAACATTTGAGGCGAGTGAGACATTGCGCTTTGAAACCAAGGGTTTATTTTGTAGAAAAAGACTCTATAGGACTGGGAAATCATTCCAAATTTAAAGAAAAAAATGATTCAAAAGATGGGCCATAACTCATGGCTATCTCCGTATTTTCTGAATAACTTTCTTATCGTTCACCGCCTACATTTGTTATTATTTTTAAAAGATTCATTTCAACCCCCTACAAGACCGTATAAGAAGTTTAGCTATGCAACGTAAAAGCGAAGAATTAGACCAAAAATGCTGTACAGCTTCAAGCTGGTCGCTACTTAAATTAAAAAGCAGTTTCTCGGTTTTATTCGTTGGTTTGCAGTCCAGTAAAATTTATATAAAAACTGATTTTCTGAACTCGGATTTGTTTTCCTTTTGAAGCTTTCCTTCCAGCAAAAAGTCCTTTTTCCTAATGCAATGAGCGGGCTAAAGGCAAATTTTAGCTGTTTTCGAAAGACTTTCAAGTCAATCTTTGCGTCACATGATTGAATTTAAACGAACTTTACTATACGCGAGCAGAAAGAGTACACCTAAAAGCACATAAAAACGTTCTTGAGCATCTTTTTAATGCTTGTACAATCTTTAAAAAGAAATTCAACCCGTTACAAAAATAAGTCTGAGTACACTCTAAAAAACAATATATCTTATAGTAAGATGCTAAAGACGGCTTGAGAAAAGTTATTTTGAAATGTGTTACTGGAAGATACTCAATGTGTCTACTAATCAAAGACGCTTTAATATTTCTTAATGAAGGACACTTTGGAACGACTTGTTCCGATCCGACCTAAGTGACTTATCTTCAAGCCACACCGGAATGTCTTCCGATAAGGCACAAAATAAAAATGAAATATCAATTCAGGCGAGATTGGAACTCACTACCTTACGCTTGGAAGAAAAACTTTGCATAGGTGGGCAGTTTAACCACCCGTTGCATGTGTTGTGGACATACATTTATCTGACTGGTACCCGAACGTTAAATTATAGAGTCGATTGAGTCGCAGATAATCGTTACTTGTTGCTGTACCTTTTTTATAAAACGTCTGTGAGAGCTGAAATAATCGGGTTTCCATAATTTTATTTTCCTCTTGCTTATCTTTACGTCGTCTGCCAAACTCACTAACTAAGGGTTCATGCATTGGCAAGTATCACTATTTCCAAAGAACTTAACTCACGCCTATAAGCATAAAATTCATCCACTGCGCCTTGAAATGGATAATTTCCTATATAATTATGACTATTGCCAAACGAGCAGCCAAGAGTGATATAAATTCCCGCACCACCAGCATTTGAGTAGTATGAAACAGCGCCTAATGAGCCTTGAGATACGCCGTTTACGTACAATGTTACATCGTTTGTTGTACTAAACGTATATGCTAGATTCACTATTACAAAGAGTCCGCTAACGACTAGTATCACAGAACTGCTCTGATAAATTTTGGTATTTTACATTAAACCGAGCAATTCTTATCAATTATTGTAACCTGTTGAAGTGCCAGATCAATGGATTGTGAGTAATTCAGTTATTGTATGATCATGCTATAATTTAGAGTTGGGGGCATTAAAAATTCACACAATATTTGAAGGTTTGCAATTATACCTTCATTGATAGATGTAGGATTTATCCACTCAGCAAACGTAACCGGTTTAGTATTTGGGGATCAAACAGAGGTAAACGCATACATATGAAAACAGGCTGAACTGCCTGGACATTGGATAGATTGATTGATATGTCCTGTTGTGGAAACAATATTTAGTTGGAAGAGGAAGAATACCACGCCTTTCGGCTACCTTGCGGTATAGGATGCTGTCCGGAGACAGTTTCGTAAGCCCGATATCTTCCCTACAACTAATACTGGCTGTAGCTCTGGACAGAAGACCAGCCTGGCTCAGAGTTCTTTCGCTCACTCGTCTGAGCTCCCCGTACATACTGACTAACCACATATTAGCAACGAGGGCTGGTGTATGTATACTTAGTTGATTCGTACTGTTCAAACGATTTGGATCATGATCGTTATATGAACTGGGTTGATCGAACGAAAAGCAGAATATCTGAGTGGCAACATTCGATATTTCAGTAGCTGTTTTTGCTCTGGTTGTTAAAACCACATTGTCCAACCACCCTGAATAATAGGTAGCAGGAAGGATCATCTTGGTTGAAATAATGATGAATAATCTGAAGAATTTTTTTCTGTACTTTTGCAGAACAAGTTTTTGAAATTTAAACATGTTCTAAACTGAAGAGCGAAGCATTTCTGATGATTCAAGACCATTTAAACTCAAGTCGTATTGGGCCGTTTCTTTAGCAAAGCGGCTTTTTTTCGTTTTAGCGAAATTCCACGTTTTCCAGCAGTAGTTGCGCGCTATTCAGTATATTCGCGCTCGGGTTCGTCTTAGAAATAAGCTTTTCTCGAAACAAAATACACAGTTTTGTAGTAGAGCTGTGCAACCCGACCCGAAGGTTGGGTACGGGTACGAAGTTGTCGGGTACGGGTTCTATTGCTTTTAATTTATCCGAAAACCGGAAGGATGTAGTGATCTAGTGGAAAATCCACAAAATTTTAGTGAGAAAATACAGAAGTTGAGCTAAAATACATGAAGGTTTAAGAAGAATTAATTGAGAACGTAATGATAGTTTGACGTCTTCAGCCGCAGAACAAAAGTTTTAAGCTGAAAAAGAAATTTTTAGGCATAGATCGGGTACGGGTACAAAGTTCTCGGGGCTGATTCTTTCGAGAGCGTACCAGGCTTTACACCGACTTTATCCGGATTGTTCGAGAGTAACAGGACTAGTACAACTTGAGCTCCTGATGACGAATATCACGTTTAAAAGATTCTAAAACAACGGCAC